AAGAGAATCTGCCATGTTCTCGAAAGATTAGACATAAAAAATGGATAAATTGAAAAAAGTACGTGGAAAAGATAACTAAAATATTATTCAATTACGAATTCTCGTGGTAAACTAATCCGGCAGGCATGTTTGATGTTTATTACCGCTTTCCGAATTCAGTACACGAACACCCAGAATGTGCTGTTCCCCGATGCAACTTAGATACTTAATCGTTACAGCGCCAACAGCGGTGGGTGCCCAATGGTCGTTGAATGGAGTAGGCCAAAAGGTCACCAGTTTGCCTTCTCCATGCTATTTTCACGATGAAAATCGAGTGAACATTGTTAATACGGCTAGAATTTTAATTTTTGTTCAAGTTTACATGCAATCTGCTAATATATTTGTTTATTTTCTGTGCATATACATTTCGTTCGTGGTCGGAAGGCGATTATTAAAAATACAGCTGTAAATTGAAACCACTGTAGTTGCGTATCGTGAGCAATAAGTGGCAACAATGTCGGGCGACAATGAATTCAGGCGATTGACACATTGCCATGAATACACTTGATAACTGCTTACAGACTTCCAGTGGTCATTGTCTATGTTTGGACTCTTGAAACAATAGCAAAATAAAGGATTGGGTAACTACTCTTTTGTTTAGGCTTGGGAAGAACAATGCAAGCTTTTTACAAATAATTTCAGCTGGATGTATGTTGGTGGGCGGGTGTTGAGAGTTACTGGGCGGCCGTAAAACTTGATGGGCGGGCCACCCGCCTAAAACCCCTTGTGGAGAACACTGTAGGGTATTTTAATTTGATGACATTCAAAATTCAGAATTTTTCTAAATTGTTTGAAAACGTGTGAAAGTCGGCTTACACCGGAAATGGCTGACCTAGTTTGTTTTAGATCGCTGTAATTTCGCCCGATTTGTCAAAAAAAAAACATCTGTTGTTCAAAGTATTGCATTTTTTACTTGAATCGTGTCATTTTCAAAGCAATTAGGGTATTTTAGTTGGTAAATTGCTTTACAAAAGTCGAAATTCTGAATTTTCGAAACTGATTGGATTTCACGAGTGCTGCCGACAGTGCAAATAAATAGATGGTTGTTTATTCGTTAATAGGATTTTAGGATTATAACCCAGGTTAAAACGAAAGAAACACTGTAGTTGCCTGTCCCTCTCTTTCTATGGTTTACAGTTTCCTAGTCTAATTCATTTTTCAATGCCCTTGGAAGAGAGTTCAATCACTAATAAATTTACTTACAACAAAGTACTATAAATACCATGTGCTATCATGTCAAGACAAGGTTAGTTTAAATAAGTAAAAATCATTCTCACCTGTGTTTCGTCCTCAATACTCTTATAATTTTCCTCTATTTGGTGAACTATTTTCACATGGCTGATTTTCATTCTCTTCATATCATCCATTACCTGTGTGAAAAAAAAAAAAAAATTATTAACACATGGCATAGTCACATCATTGCGCTAGATTACATCCATAAAGTATCAATATGATTCATTTAACCCAACGTAAACTTTTGTCAACTTCAACAAAATAAACTCATACATTTTTTTTTAAAAGATTACCCCAGTAACTAAGGATACATAAAAATGTGCATCAGAATTAAAAATACGATTGTGCTGACAAGCAAATAATTTTCTTTTTTTCATTCCTTGAGAGAAAACACAAATTGCTATGAAAATCTTTAGATGAACTTCTATAATTACCTTAGCTAGGCAGTCTCTTGCATACAGGTAAGGTACATAGGCATTCTGTGAATCTAACTCTGGTGGCTGTAATTGAGTTCTACTGGATCTAGATACTAGACTCCGTGTATCTGACAACAAATCCAAAAGGATGAGTGAATTTCATAAAGAAATAGAATATAAAACAAGCAGGGTCTTGTAATATGGCGACACACTGTAATGTCATTTGTTTATATTTGTGCCAACCAACATGGGTGCATGTATGTCAGACATACATTTATTAATAAGGGCAGCAAAGAATGCCGTTCTTATACCTTTAAATGTGTACAACTGGTTCTTGCCAACGAGTCACTGCGAACACACACGTCAGCAAAACAAAAACAACTATCCATAGTTTGCCGAGTGTTATAAAACAGAATTAAAATTCAATGTATCCTGTTGATATCATCAGTGTCATCTTCAAGGACTGATGGAAAGAGTTGCTGGTGTACATACCTGGGTCTATTATCATAGATGTGCGATCTAATCGTGATTCAGGTCTGGCTTCCTCCACTGTTATAATAGAGCTTACACTACCCATACTAGAAACAGTTCTTGGTACACCAGAAGCAGGTCTTGAGGAATGTATTCGTGGGGTCTCCCTGTTATTACCATCAGTCCATGCTGTAAAAAAAAAAAAAAAAAAGTTTTTAAATTTAGTTCTTTCATCAAAATTCCAGATGTTTTGCAATAAATATATAAAATAGCAACAATGCAGATACTAAGGTACATGCATGTAATCACTATAACCTCATTCAGACCACTGTTAATTCTCCAGTGAGTGGTCCCTCGCTAACAACACAATTGCTTTACTGTATTTGCTCTATCAGCAGAGTACATTTTTGTATATGCTTACATATTGTAAAATACTTTATTTTAGCTGGATTAATATTAATAATATTTGGAAAGGACTTATTGAGTGTTTTGTATGGAGTTAATTTTCACTGATTTTTGATGAGTTGAATGTAAAATATAGAAAAAAAAGGTATAATCGCTGGATTTTATTTCTACTTAATCACCCCTTCAGTGAAAATAGCAAAAATAAATTCTGAGATGCAATGAAGCAAATATGGTATACATGTATGCGAGCAAATGACATTGTTCTAATGAGCAAATGAAATTGAGAGTGTAAGCATGAATGTTACTTTAAGTTGGTATACAATGATTCAGCTTACATATATAACTAAACAAAAAGGTGATCAAATGTACTAGCTAACCTACCTTTACGGGAGACATTATCACTCGGCTCTATAACATTATTCTTGAATTTTTTTCCGGCACTACCTGAACTGTCGTCAGATGATGATATTATTAGCTTTTCTGGACTGGGCACATTCTACAAAAACAAGAATAAGTCAAAATCATTTAAAACTTTTTTTCAAACAACCAGTCGGATATTCGGCTTTAGCAAGGTCATTTTACTAGTGTTTACTACACATAATATAAAGTTTACCATAAAGCATAATGAATTTGATCCGACTTACTCTGTTAAGTGACTGCCTTGATA